GAACTAAAGAGCCTCTTGATACAGGTGGAAGAGGAGAGTGAAAAAGCTGGTTTAAAATTTAACATTCAAAAAACAAAGATCAAGGCATTCGGTCCCATCACTTCATGGTAACAGAAGGGGAAAAAGTGGAAACAGTGACAGATTTTATTTTCTTGGGCTCCAAAATCACTGTGGATGGTGACTTTAGCCATGAAATCAGATGACAGGTGTTCCTTGGAAGAAAAGCTATGACAAATCTATACAGAGTATTAAAAAGCAGAGACATCACTTTGCCAACAAGGGCAGTATAGTCAAAGCTATGGTTTTTCCAGTAGTTATGTACAATGAGAGTTGGACCACAAAGATGGCTGAGTGCCAAAGAAATGTTGCTTTCAAACTGTGGTGCTGGAGAAGACTCTTGACAGTCCCTTGGGCTGCAAGGAGATCCAACCAGTCAATCCTAAAGGAAATCAGTCCTGAATATTCTTTGGAAGGAATGACGCTGAAGCTGCAATACTTCGGCTACTGGATGCTAAGAGCCAACTCATTGGAAAAGACTTACTGGGACAGATTGAGGGTAGAATGAGAAGGGGGCGACAGAGAATGATGTGGTTGGATGGCATCACTGACTCAATGGACATGAGTGTGAACAAACTTAGGACACAGTGAACGACAGGAAAGCCAATCATGTTGTAGTCCATGGAACTGCAAAGAGTCAGTCTCGACTTAGTGACTGAACAACAAGTTAAAATGAGGAAGTAAACTTATTGTTGTTTTTTCTCTTTTCTGATTCTTCAGATACTTCTCTAACCTCTGAAATTGTTTGCCGAGATTGTAACCTTACTTACATTAAAAAACAAGTACATATACCTGCTTTGCTCCAGATCTTGCTAAGTAAATGACACTTTTCTGGCAGTTTCTGTCTTCACAGCCTGGCAGTAAGTGATCCATGTTTCCATCTCCATCTGCCAAAAGAAACTTAAAAAGTTCATTAACAGCCACAAAACGGTGCTCCTGTATAGCAGATTACATTTCCCATCTTTTCAAAGTCTGCATCACTCTAGATAAACTGAGGAATCTGATGCATGGTTTTGTAGTTTATGTGATTCAATTAAAGAATTACTCTGGCCCCTGCTATCTGTTACCTGGACTGTGACTGGTTTTAAACTGCTCACTTTTCTTTGGCTAAATGTTTATCCAATGTTGGAAAAACACCTTGTCTCAGGGCTTTAATGTTAAAATCATCACTTAAAAAATGTAGCTTGTGACTTAGACAATTATCATTGCTGCATGGGAGGAAACGAGGCATGTCACTAGTAACCCATTATTATTTGACTGATTTTGGATGTCTTTACATATACTTTTAAGCCTCTTTTATACAGCATAAATTTCAAGAGTTATAAACCTTTCTGCAATCCAGATTCTAAAAAGAACCAGTATATTTTTATCAATAAAAAGACAAATGAAGGGAATACACATGTCATTTCCACCTGACTGATTTTTAAACAGCTGCACAATGGTCTGCAAAGACCTGCAGAGATGATGTTACTGAGGAACTTGGAATCATTTCCTCTAGTGCTCCCTCCTATATACTGTCCCTACCTGATGGAAGTTTACAAATTTTGATGTTGTAGAGTTAAATTTCTACAGGGACATTCACACAATGGAGTAATCATGTAGCTTTTAAATTTAGAGCCTCATTTTGTATTTCTTCAGAATAAATATGGATTTATTTGCAATGGTTTAATGTATCATTTAATGTGTGCCAAGGTAGTAGTACCTTCACTTGGAAGACTACATAAGGGTTAAAAATAAAAGAGGTCTTTGTGCAGGTTTAAATATCAATATTAAGAGAGATATGTAACTAAAACAAGTCTATCAGGTATCCAATCACGTATTCAAAAGGAAAAAAAGAAAATTTAGGTTGTGTGAGATGAAAATCTAGCCAATGGAAGCTGACCTCAGCAAGGAAAAGGCGTATTATAGTGAAAAAAGAGTTTCTTTGATTCAATTTCATGGTTTAATTACTTATGATTCTCATAGGTAATACTCTGTGTGATAACAAACCCTTACTTATAAGAGTATAACATTAAACAAAACAGTTGAATTAATAATGGCAGCACAGAAATTATCTGTGATACGGCAGTAGTACATCTGAACTACTGTGAAAGCAGTTGAGAGAGAGATGCAACTCTATGCAGGAATACTCGGAAAGGAGAAGGCTATCCAAGGACACAAACATATATCATAGTTAGAAAAAAAAAAGTAGGAGCTCGCCAAGTAAGAATTAAATACAAAGTGTGATTTATAAACTGGGTCTAATAATAACATAGGCTTCATTAAAAGCCAAATCATTTCATTGCGATTATTCTGGGACTAATCAGAAGAAGACAGTTAACAAGTCTCTGTCTTTCATTTTTACCCCAAAGTCAAAATACTCAGATTTAGATTTTATTTACACTTTTCTTTTCTCCTAGTTTCTCTTTCTTCCAAGTAGTTTCCTATTTCCCCCAAGTATTTTGGCCATGACTTGGCCGAGATTTAATACTGGCAAATAACATATCTCTGTTAAACATATAACTAACTCACATCATAACATCATAAACATGCCTTTTTGTAAGAAATATCAGTAATATTTTATAGATATGGCTATAAAAATCTAGAACTCTATCAAAGAAGGTGCTCCTTATGCTGATTCTTTTTTTTAATTTTAATTTAAAATTTTTTTTCCTTTATTTTTATTAGTTGGAGGCTAATTACTTTACAATATTGCAGTGGTTTTTGCCATACTTTGACATGAATCAGCCATGGATTTACATGTGTTCCCCATCCCATTCCTTTGGGTCTTCCCAGTGCACCAGCCCTGAGCACTTGTCTCATGCATCCAATCTGGGCTGGCGATATGTTTCACACTTGATAATATACATGTTTCAATGCTATTCTCTCAGATCATCCCACCCTTGCCTTCTCCCACAGAGTCCAAACATCTGTTCTANCTTTTATTTTTTAAAGGAATGAATTATATATGATGTTTGTTTCTCTGGCTAAAAATTTGTACAAAATGGTGAAGAAAGCATTGGGAAAATTCATACAGACACTCCTTTAGCCTGAACTGCTGTATGAATTTTGTTTTTAACACTGTATCAAAAAAAAAAAAAAAACCCACTGTATTTGTAAATTATTTAAACTTAAACTTGAATAATAAAAGTAGTACAAGAAGTCCTGAACAAATTTTAACCAGATTGACCTGTTAACATTTTATGCCATTTATTTGATCATTTGTGTGCTCTGTGAAATCATTTTTTTTCTGAACCATAATTATATACATTACAGCCTCTCACCCCTAAATACTTTAGTGTGCATTTCCTATAAATAGGGATATTCTCTTAAACAACCACAGTACAACTATTAATTCACACAGACAATCTTATCTATTGTACTATATCTATATTCCAGTTTTGTTTTTTGACCTAATGTCATTTGTAGCATTTTTGACCCTCTAACATAGGATCCAGAGTCTAGGAGTAGAACTGCATTTAGTTGTTATTTTTGGTGTGTTTTTCAGTTGCTAAGTCATTTCCAACTCTTTGCTACCCCATGGACTGCAGCATGCCAGGCTCCTCTGTCCTCCACTATCTCCCAGAGTTTGCTCATACTGATCTCCATGGACTCAGTGGTGCTAACCATCTCATCCTCTGCTGCCCTCTTATCCTTTCACCTTCAATTTTTCCCAGCATCAGGGTCTTTTCCATGGAGTTGGCTATACGCACCAGGTGGCCAAAGGACTGGAGCTTCAGCTTCATCATCCGTTACAATGAATATTCAGTTCTTCCAGTATATTGGCTGGATATCCTTGCAGTTATTTTTAGTCTCTTTTAATCTAGAATATTTTCATAGCCTGTGCCTTTTACAATCTATATATCTTTTTTGTTTTTAAACCTCAGACGACAGGAATTTCTTACTTTTTTAATAAGTTATTATGCCTGAGGAAGAAAGTAGTTTCAGGAAAATTTTTCATATGAGTCAGAGGAACAAGGCTAGTAACTAGTAATATGCAAATTCTATGAAAAATAATGTGACTATGAGGAAAGTCATGCTGAAGAGGTACCACTCTGTGAACTTAGCATATGTTTCTTAAAGAAGTCCCAGGAATTATTCAGTTCAGATTGTCTTCTCAGGACTTCAGCATGTTACATATCTCAAGTTTCTTTGAGAGATAAATTACCTCTCAAAGGTTCAAGTGAAATTGTAACAGAAGGAATCACATTTTGATTCATTCATTCTATAAAACATGACATAAAATTTGGCCTGTTGAATGTCAGGACTGCTAGAGACTAAAGTTCACACTAACTACATGCTAATTTCCATCTGATGTTAACCAAATTTCAAATGAAATTATTCTCTAAAACAGATAATTTTAAAGAGATATATATGATTCAAACTGACTTTCCCCAAAATTTTAATTTTAAAATCAAGAAAACACTAAAATAGTTTTCATCAAAATGGACTATAATGAATTTTGGTGTAATAGTTTTTCTGGTTTTAATTAAGCAGAGGACAAAGAAGATATGTATGAGCAAGGGTCACACTTATGTTTCCTCTTAAAAATTCATAAAATTTTCAGTATCTTGAAATTAACTGACCTGTGGTATCATTTAATCAAATTACAACTCATTGTTCTGGCCCCACATTATCCATTAACACTGTAAACCACAGGTTCTTTAATGCAGTATTCCCAAAGTATGGCTTCCAGTCGAACAGTCTCAACATCACCTAGGAACTTAATAGAAATGTCTATTCTTACACCCCTGTCCAGAACTAATGAATAAGAACCTTTGCTGCTGCTGCTGCTGCTAATTCGCTTCAGTCGTGTCCTACTCTGTGTGACCCCATGGACGGCAGCCCACCAGGCTCTGCCGTCCCTGGGATTCTCCAGGCAAGAACACTGGAGTGGGTTGCCATTTCCTTCTCCAATGCATGAAAGTGAAAAGTGAAAGTGAAGTCGCTCAGT